ATATTTCAATCGTTGTTAACGTACCGTTCTGTTAGATCAGTGGTTTAAAGTTCTGGTATTGGGTTGGATAATCTCTCTGTCAATGGCAATTTTTTCATCTGATTTGAAAACCGCTATGGGTATTCTGAAGATAATGCTCAGGCAGGGGGGCCTTCGCTAATATTTTCTGCGAATGGTTGGTATTGGCGCTGGGCCAGCAGTATGATTCTGGGCACATTTCGTAGGAGAATATGAGTGGTGAGAAGCTATTGTATGAGAAGCCCGGGGAAGAATTGCTACATCGTTTTTAGGGAAAAAATTCAAGAAAAATAGATTTGCATTTGTGTTCTGATTTTCTGGTTGCCATAAATTTTCGTTTCCAAAATGGTCCAAGAGCATTTTTAGGGGCTGTCTTGGCTCGTCGTGCATTTCTACTGTACTTGCACAATCAGATCAGAAATCTCGGTGATGAGAATAGTGTGATTGAACGTTGCCCAACTTCGAACAAGTATCGTATCAAGGTTTGTTTCTTTGCAGCTGCATGCTGCAACGGTTGAATGTTTTTCCTCTTCATGAAGGAACGTCGACTCGGACCTGGAGGCTATACCGCGTGGAGCTACGGTATAGCCTCCGGGTCCGAGTCGACCTTCGTTCCGATGATGTTAGACAGAAGTCATGGACTGCTGACATAGTGGTGGTAACTGTTCTTTCGCGACAGTCAGCGCTTGGTTGGAGTATCCTCAGATTCGGCCGTGCTTCAGACTTGTTTCGGAGAGGTTTACGGTATATTTCCTGTTCTCTCGGGCTTATTCTTGCACGGAGTAACTGCCTTCGCTGCATGGTCACTAGAATCGTAGATTTCAAGTCGATTTTTGTCTTTTTTTTTTGCTCAAGCTCTATCTCAGTTACTTGTTTTCGTATTGTCAGGGCACTTCACTGTCTGTATCAGACTGAGGAGGTTGAACTAGTTCGAGCAATAACGGTATACGCCAGCAGCCCTTAATTGCTGGGACTTTTTATGATTCCGTGTTTTGAAAGTTGCTTGCAGGCAAGATTGGTACCCGGATTTTTATGGGGTGTATTTTGGATTTGGGAGAAATGATGATTTTTGGGATGCTGAATTATAGGTAGTAAATGGGTTTGTTTTAAATATGAGAATTTTTGATTTTGTCTAATTACAGTTATTTTTCTTTTTAATATTGAACGAATAACTTGTGAAGGCATTTTTTGTGTTTTGAAGGCAGTTTTGTGGTTTTTTTACCAACAAATTATAAAAGCAATACATCTTTTGTAGCTGTTTTCATGAAGTACATGCAATTTACTCAGATCGCCATTGGTCACTAGATGTTAGTTGGGTATTATTGGGAGCTTCCATATTCCGAGCTGTGCTAGGCTTTTCACTCGTGGGCTACATAGCTTCAGTTAATACCCACCGCTTATTCAATCTATGTGCGCCATATCTTCTGGGGCTGCCCAATTTTTTTTTTTAAATTCAATGCAAAACATTCTAATTTTAGTTGGGCTACAAAGTTGTCTTCTACTCATCCTTTCCGCCGAATCTGCGTGTATCGGGTGGTGAAGTGCAGCGACTGCATTGCTATAAAGGTGGATCTACACTTGAGCTTACTCCTGATGTGGTGCAAACTTTTGATGAAATGGCAGAAACGGGACGCGTCAACGTGATGAGTTTGGCTGATAAGATGCTCAAGTGGAATAATTTGGGTTTGTTTTTTGCACCATCGCAAAGTTTTTTTGAGTTTTGCACCAGATGTGGCTAAATGAATTTGGAAGTGCGGGGTTTTGTCTGTGAATTTGAAAGTTCGGGATTTTATCTACTGCTGATGTTCGGTGAATTTGTCTTTCGTATTTCGTGTGCAAAAATTTGTCGCAACCCTAAAAGTCAATATTCTAGGCTGATGGTATGCCCTGTGTGTGTGTGTGTGTGTGTGTGTGTGTGTGTGTGTGTGTGTGCGTGTGTGTGTTTGTGTGTGTG